GTTGTGACACTAATAGTTCCCATAAGCCCAATCTTGATAGACCAACTCAAAAGTACCTAGGTAACAAAAATCCAAGCTGAAGATCCTAGAAGCCCATCTACCTCTGGGAGATGAACAACATGGGGAAAACAGCATTTCAGACCTACTTTTCAGCCTGTGCAACTCCCTATCAATATTCTTCTGTCAATGAAGGAAATTTGTACAACTTGCTAGCCTGACATAGAGTATGATGGTCAGTCGCCTTCCTAAATGACATGCTCAAATTCAAACAGGCTATTATACGAGCCTTTCTCATCTGTCCTATGATGGACAAATGTGCTATGCCTGTGCCAACTCAAGGAAATATGTACCTGAAAAAAATTAAAAAGAAAGAATTTATGCTTCAGAGTCTAGAAGGCATAATTTCCCAGCTGAAAGGCTTTGAGTGTTGTCAGACAAAATGTCTGTTTTTACACATGAAAAGATGCTTATGTTAATAGTCATAGGGAAAAGCACATCAAAATCACAGTGGAGTATCAATTCATTTCCAATAGGATGGCTATGATCAAAAAGACAGACAATAACAAGTTTTGGTGAGGCTGTGGAGAAATCAGAACCTTCATACACTGCTAGTGGGGATATAAAATGATGCAACCTCTTTGGAAAATGGTCTGCCAGCTCCTCAAAATGTTAATCATAAAGTTACATATGACTCTGCAATTCCACTCGTAGGTATATTCACAAAAGAAATGAAAGTGTATGTCTACACAAAAACTTGCACACAGATGTTCATACAGCATTATTCATATAGGTGAAATGTAGAAACAAATCAAATGCCCATCAAATGGGGACTGAAAAAAATATGAGGCATATCCATACCATTGAATATTATTCAGCAATAAAAATAAATGAACTGCTCATGCATGCTGCACATGGATGAACCTTGGAAACATTGTGTAAAGTGGAAGAAGCCAGTCACAAAAGGCTGCATATTGTATGATTCCATTTATTTGAACTATCCAGAATAGGCAAATTCATAGAGCCAGAAAACAGGTCACTGATTACCAAGGCCTGGAGTACTGAGGGAGGAATGGAGAGTATTGGATTTCTTTTGGGGTTTATGAAAATGTTCTAGAATTAGATAGTAGTGATGGTTGCACAACTCTGTAAATATACTGAAAACCATTGAATTGTATACTTTAAAGGGGTTCATTGTATGGTCTGTAAATTATATTTCAATAAAGCTGTTATTTTATTTTATTACACAGGGTTTCACTCCCATTGCCCAGGCTGGAGTGCAATGATGAGATCTTGACTCACTGCAACCTCCACCTCCTGGGTTCAAGTGATTCTCACGCCACAGCCTCCCGAGTACCTGGGATTACAGGTGCATGCCACCATGCCCAGCTCATTTTTGTATTTTTAGTAGAGGCAGGGTTTTGCCATGCTTCCAAGGCTGTCTTAAAGTCCTGATCTCAAATGATCCACCTGCCTCAGCCTCCCAAAGTGCTGGGATTACAGACATGAGCCACCAGACCCAGCCCCATAAACTGGTTTAAAGCAAATGTCTTTTCTCAAAGGACCAGTCTCTACAACCTTCTAGAACAGTGCTATCTAATAAAACTTTCTGTGATAATGGAAATGTTCTGCATTTTGCACTGCCGAATATGGTAGCAACCAGCCACCTGTAGCTATCGAGCACTTAAAACATGGCTTGTGTTACTGAGAACTGAATTTTTAATTTAATTTAATTTAAATTAATTAAAACTTAGCCACATGTTGCAAGTAATTATCATATTCGACAGCTCAACTCTTGAATTTATACAGAAATTTAGTTTCTACTCAAAGTTTATCCTCCACTTCTCCTTTCTCATGGAATTAGTTTCTCAAGAAAAGATAGACCAGGCAGGCTTGCACATGTCTATAATCCCAGCACTTTGGGAGGCTGAGGTGGGAGGATCACTTGAGCCTAGCAGTTCAAGACCAGCCCAGGCAACATAGCGAGACCCTGCCTCTATGTAAAATTTAAAAAATAAAAATTTTCAAGGAAATAAAAGATAGGGCTTTTCCTGAACCGTGGCTATACAAATATATTTTACCTCTACACTCCTACTGTGTCCTGACTGCCCTGACCTAGTTTGTCTCTATAGCATAAGGACTGATTTTCTCACATGGCTCTTCTAACATGGCTTTTTTGGGGCTCTCCTGTGTCAAAGGGATTCCTAGTCAGGTTGTCTCTGAATATGTGAGAACTTCTCAAGAAAGTTGATTCCAGTGCAGATTGACTAATTGACTATCCAATATAGGAGCAAAAGGTACTGACTGTAGAAGCTAGTTGCCTCAAAATGCCAGCCTCACACCTCAAGAATGTCACAACCCCAGCCTCCCACCTCAAGAATGCTCCAGAACACGTTACACTCTTTCAGACAGCAAAGCCTGTCATACACCATTTGGGGTGTGTGTGTGTGTGTGTGTGTGTGTGTGCACATGTTATGAGCAAGACCTTGGGACAACTACTCCAGCCCTATGTCTTCAACCCAAACCTACCCATATCCATTACACAGCCAATATCCAGCATCAGTAAGAGGAAAATCGTGTTATGGACTGAATGTTTGTTTCCTGCTCCCCTAAAATCCTATGCTGAAGCCCCAGCCTCTAATGTGTTAGTATCAGGAGGTGTGGCCTTTGAAAGGTAATTAGATTTACAGGAGGGCAGGAAGGTGGAGCTCTTATGATGGGATTAGCGCCCTTACAGAAGAGGAAGAAAACAGAGCTCTCTCTCTCTATCAGCCTTATGCGGACACAGAGAGAAGGCAGCTGTCTGCAAGCCAGAAAGAGGGCCCTCACCGGGAATTAACTCATCTGGCACCTTGATCTTGAACTCTCAGCCCCTAGAACCATGAGAAATAAAGGCCTGTTGTTTAAACCATCCAATCTGTGGTATTTTGTTTGCTATGGCAGCCTGAGCAGACTAAGACAGAGCACTAGGAAACCAAGTCCCACTTACAGCCTAAGTCCTAGGACCTCTTCTTTCATGTATGCCTTATTTTTTACCTCCTGCTCTGTTCTACAACTATTCAGCTCTTGACCTCAGTCTTCGTCTCTTCTTTCTGGTTCTGCTCACACCCCGTAGACTTTATTACAGATTTGTTTCTCCTCCTCAACCCTTGATATTCTTCTGTGGAGACAGTTTGCTCCACACTCTGGCTCCTCCCAGTGAGAGCATCTCTGAGTCAACCTCTGCTTAATCTGGCCTTAATCTCTCCCCCATAATGACCATCACAGTTGGGAGGCTGGTGATTCATCTGGAGCCTGAAGGGAACTGAACCTTAGTTATGCTGTTGTTTCCAATGACAGGGTCTTTTTTTTCCCCAAGAAGGAAGTTATTAACTTCTCAGGAATCAAAGAACAATTATAATTAAATATTTGATAACCTGAAAATAAAACTTATTTTGACTCTTGAATTTGAGGCTTAGTCTGGAAAACCTTGTGATTACTTTAAAGTGATCTCTGCAGGTTGAGGACCTGCACACATCTAACATAATTTTCACTGACCAATACAAAAATTAGCCAGGCGTGGTGGCAGGCACCTGTAATCCTAGTTATTCAGGAAGCTGAGGCAGGAGAATTGCTTGAATCTGGGAGGCAGAGGTTGCAGTGAGCCAAGATCATGCCACTGCACTTCAGCCTGGGCAACAGAGCGAGATTCTGTCTCAAAATACTACTACTACTACTACTAATAATAATAATAATTTTCACTGACCAGTGATGTTCCTCACAAACCCATGAAAACTTTTCAGTACCACATACTCTTCACTTTTTATTCCATGACTATTCCTATATTATTCTATTCTAGATTGCTCTATTCCATGCCCCATAGCCCTTTACAAAAACCCGAAAGCATTCGTGTCATATACCCCACCACCATACAGGTGTTGAGAGTTTTTATCATTTCAAAGTGCATGAATTCATTGAAGCAGCACATATGAACCAAGTGCCTAAACTGTGTGTCAAAGCCTGTGTTGAATGCATTGGATAAAGAAGTGAGGAAAATACAGTTTCTTGCCCTTGAGAAAACAGGCAGAGGGAAGATAAATCAACTCTTTAGCAGGTAGGCCAAGCCAGGTGACAGAGTTGCCGCTGTATCCCGTAGGTCCCATTTCAATCTCTATTATAAAAACATGATTTTCCATCAGGCTCTGCATGCAGCAAGAAGCCAGTGTTTGCTGTTAATGGTGATGATGATTTGGTATTTTTGCAGATTAGCTCTCATACCTGAGGACCCTTCAAATGAAAAACCAGGTCAATTTCATCAGTCATTGTCACTCACTGGCATTCATTACCTTTTAGGTAAACACTTATGTGCTAAATGATCAATGTTACCAACAGAATTTACTTAATGTGGACAAGATTGCAGTTTACCAGCACCTTCTCCTGAAGTCTCTAAATTATCAGCTACTTCAATGAACCATCTTATTTATCTATGCATTGCAAAACAGAGACAAATTCTCTTCATTCCTGTCATAGAGTCTAGGGAAGCTCTGGGTGCTTCCAGAGCACATGACCGTTGTCATTACGAGTCTGTTACCAGCTGTCTGCACATCTCAATTTCCCCATTATTCTATGAGTCTTGCCATGTACCTATAATGGAAACAGAAAGATGATATCACAATGCTTCAGAGGGCTTTAAATAAAGCATTATGAAAGAGAGGAAGCAGCCCAAAAACATCAGGTGTGCATTAACCACCAATGGCATTTCAGAGTTGCTTTAAGAAACGTCAAAGGCATCAATCCAAACTACTGCCTGCTTGAGGCCAGTTCTCCATCAGTGGTACAGAATACTGAATGAATTGATTCATTTATTGAAGCTTCAGCTTCTTCTGTAGCCATATTGACCAAAAGGTGGCCATTGACAAGCAACCAAGCAAATCTCCACTGGTAGTATTTTTCAAATGGTTTATTTCTATAGCCTTCTATATACATGAGACATTGAAAGAGACAAAAAGAATACATTTTCTTACCTGAGAGAAAGATAAAACTCGACATGAGAATCACTCCATGAAGCCTCTGATATATGATGCGTTCTTTCATTGTCTAAATCTGTTTAAAAAGTCAAAAATATGCCCAGCTCAGATTCAGAAAAGACAATTTCTAAGTGTATGTGACCACACTTCTCCTTTGCATTCCACCTAACATTTTTTCCTATTGCTTAAAATCATATCAGCCAGCCACATGACAGGCATTTACCTGAGTTATCCAGCCTGACTGAAACCTCACTGATGGATTTAGCTGTACACTAGCTCAATACATTTTCTTGAATTACTACTATGTGCCAGACACTGTGTTGCCCACTGGGACTACAGAGCTGAGAAGACAAGACACAGATATCTGCCATCATAGGACAGTTAGCCTTGTTGGGGGGACAGAAGTTAAATGCATGATTACAAAATGTGAGGCCAGGAGCAGTGGCTCATGCCTGTGATCTCAGTACTTTGGGAGGCTAAGGAGAGGGAGATCGCCTGAGGTCAGGGGTTTAAGATCAGCCTGGCCAACGTGGTGAAACCCCATCTCTACTAAAAATACACACACACACACAAAATAGCCTGGTGCGGTGGTGGGCACCTGTAATCCCAGCTACTCTGGCGGCTGAGGCAGGAGAATTGCTTGGCCCTGGGAGGTGGAGGTTGCAGTGAGTCGAGATGGCACCACAATACTCCAGCGTGGGCAACAAGCGCAAAATTCTGTCTCAAAAACAAACAAACAAAAATATGATACGTTCAACCCTAATGCACAGGCTTCGGTTCAATTACTTGTACTTGTAATGATCCCAAACTTCTTGAAGGAATGTTATTCAAGAAGACCTTGGTGACAAATCATTTGTATTTAGAAGACCTTGGTGACAAATCATTTGTATTTTTAAAACAGATCTGTTTAGAGAAATCTAATCACCATTTCATTACATTCACCCAGCTTCTCTCCTTAATTAATTGTAACTAAAGCTTCTTATGTGGAAAATGCACTGAAAACTCCCTCTTCTCCAAACAAAACTGCAAATCCTACTGAAACATTACAGGAACCTGGCAGTGGGGTGCTGATGAGCATTTCTGATTTTAAATAAAATATACTTCTGAATGATTTACTACTGATTTGAAAAATTTCCTTTCCTATAGGATAATGCAACATACTGTATTTCTTTTTATCTCCAAGTGGGATTTGGAGTGAATAGACCCACTTTACATTTAACGTAACAGAAGCCAATTAGGAAGTCAAATGAATCTCGGGCTTGCTATGAACATCACCCATTAATCAGGCTCTTCATATTTACCAAGTATTCTACTGCCATTATCATTAGAATAATAAGGGAATTTGTATGAGTTGGATGGATTTTCTAAACTATGAGCTTAGAAGTAAGGGGGTGTCTAAATCTTTTATGACTTGCAAAATGAAATGCAGCTTAAATTTATAGTGCTATAAGAGGACTAGGCTGAGAATCAGTAACTGGCTGTGAGGCCATACATATTTCTGTTCCTTAATTTCTCTGGGCCTCAGTTTCCTTATCTGTAAAAATGGAGATAATAATCTGCCTATTTCCCAGAGCTGCTCTCAAAGAGGATCAAATGAGATGATATTTCAAAGGCAATTTTCAAAGCATAAAGTGCTATAGAAATGGATATGATTGCTATCTATAAAATGGAATTTTCAGCAGCAAATAATCCAATTTATATTTTTCTTCCATTTCCTCTAAACTTTTATAACAACTTCAAGGTATGTTTCAGAAACTTACCTAGTGCCCCAAATACAAATCATGGGACATTTACACAACAGAATACTATGCAACCATTAAAAGGAATAAGGGCTGGCATGGTGGCTTACACCTGTAATCACAGCACTTTCAGAGGTTGAGGCGGGCAGGTCACTTGAGGCTAGGAGTTCGAGAACAGCCTGGGCAACATGGTGAAACCTATCTCTACTAAAAATGCAAAAATTAGCTGGGCACGGTGGCACAGCTACTCGAGAGGCTGAGGTACAAGAATCACTTGAACCTGGGAGGCAAACGTTGCAGTGAGCTGTGTTCATGCCACCGCACTCCAGCCTGGGTGACAGAGTGAGACTCTGTTTCCAAAAAAAAAAAAAAAAAAAAAAAACAGGAATAAGTTAAGGCTATATGTAAGGCATGAGAAGGTGGGTTGAGGAAAGGGAGTGGGGCTTGAGGACTTTTTCATACCATTCTGTACTGTTTGATTCTTTTACAAAGATCATAAGTTAGTAACATAATTTTAAAAATTAAAGGAAAGGAGAAAGGGAGAGAGGAAGGCAAGAAAGACAGGAAGGAAGGGGAGGAAAGAGGAAGGAAGAACGGGAATTAAATGTTTCCTTTTTACTTATGATTCTGAACTGTTTGCTTTTACAATAAGCATACATTACTTTCACAATTTTGAAGAAAACGTAAAACGAAGGAATGAGGCAAAGTAAAGAAAGAGGAAAAGAGAAAAAAATGGTGAGGATTAAAGACTTGAGTTTTATACCCCACAGAATTACAAGCAATTTGGTTATTTTATGATGAGTATTTGTTACTTTTGTGATTCAGAAAAAAATTAAAGGAAGGAAGTGGAGCGAGAGAGGGAAAGAGGGAAAGAAGGAAGGAAAGGAAAGAGGGAGGGAAGGAGAGAGGGAGGAAGTGAGACACTTACCTGAACACTGGACTCTTTTAACTTCCCACCCTGAAATGACCAGATCTGGCCTCTAAATTCCTATGTTTGATGTGAAATGAAAGGAGCACAAAACAGGAGACTCATTTTCTGCTGGCCATGCCTCAGTCACCTCCTTTTCTGCATCAAACCAGCCTCTCTGCTCTTAGCTTTATGGGGCTTATTGATCCCGGTAGATCCTCTTTTTGTGGCTTGTATCACGTCATGGGCTGCTCTTCTGAGCATAAAATCAGCATGGGCAAAGTTCTCAGATTATTACAACCCTGCAATAACCCATTAATTTGAGGGCTGTCTCCCAGTTTTCACTAAGGATTATCTTCAGCTCCTAGTTGATTATTGCTTTAATTAAATTGGATATATTAAATGGATACTAGCTTACCTGACTAAGGCTCATTTCACTTCATTGAGAAAGTGGGGAGGAGGAGGGGTGGTGTTCAGAACTATGAGCAGAAAGCAAAGGCCAAAGAGGCATGAACATGTTCACATCTCACTCCATCAGTAAGGTGAAGCCAGCTATTTACCGTCACTGGATATTTCTTTTTCAAGTCGCCTCAAAAGTAAATAGATTTACTGAAGTGGCTTTGTGTTCATCTCAAGAAGGAGATGTTGTTTTTGTCCCAGAAGGTGTCATTACAGCCCCTTAGGGGTGACGAAAGTATCACCAAATCCCATGGAGGATTCAGTGATGATCCCTGTCAGCCTCTGCACTTCATAGGTGAAGCCCCTGAGATCCCAAGGGTAGAATGACTCGTCCAAAATCACAGAGCTTGTGAAATAGAAAGCAGGAGCTAGAACCAAGGTGTCCTGACTACCAGATTAGTGCATTTTCCTCTTCATCTCATACCTTCAATAGAAAATTCAGTCTCATAGGAGGCTGAATCAACCCAGCTTAAGGCCAGGATTCTCCACATGGGAACAGAGAAGGAAGAGGTGTATTGGAATCATCCATGATTCACCACAAAACCCACTAACTGTGATCAGGGTAGTGAATAAGAACCTAGACTTTGCAGAAAGACAGGCTTGAGTTTGAGTCTCACCTGTGTGTCTTGTGGCCAGTCTCTTAACATCTCTGGAGCCCTTAGTGTCCTCATTTGTAAAACACTGATCATGGAACTCACCTCATAATACTGTGAAATTAAACAACACAACCTATATAAAGTGTTTGGCCCAGAGCTCAGCACCAGGTTCCAGCACCACTGCTCCTGTGTAGGACTCCACTGCTTCTCCTTTCCAGTATGCACAAGGCTTAGGTTTTGTGACCTGTCCCTGACGTGGGGCCACACAGCCTACAAGATGATGTGGAGCCGTTACTGAGAAACATCTTGACACTTCCCTGGCATGGTTTGTATTTCATACCATGCCTGCTCATTGATCTGTCTCCCGCACAACACTAAGCTCTGATAGGGCAGGAACTCCATGTTCTTCAGTGGTTCACATGCTGCCTGGCACATAGAAGGCGCTCAATCAATACTTCATAAACGATGCCTTTCTCCCTTATTAGAGTGTAAGCTTCCTGAGGACAGAGAAAAATATCTCTGTTTCTTCTGTGCCCTTCACCAGGAGTTAGCACAGTGTCTAATACATAGTAGGTATTTAATTAATGTTTGCTGAAATGAAGAAAAGAATTTAGAGAAAAATTATTCATATATACTTGGATATGTCATCAAATTTCTGTAGAAAAGAACCCTGGTAAGAAGAGTTGCTTCTAGAGAGGGAAACTGGGGGATTTGGGGTGGAAGGGAACCTCAGTGTTCACTGAACGTGCTTTTGTACTATAAGAATTGTAATCTGTGTGTGTGTGTGTGTGTGTGTGTGTGTTTTTCAAAGAAAAACATTGTATATTTTGTTAAAAATCCAACACAGCACAAACGAAAGAATTAACTAGAAAATTAAATTTGTACAAAAAAAGGGAAGAGGTTTGAACTCTTTTGTTAGGAAAACATTTGCCACCTGGGAGGGCTTCAGTGGGTATCTTCCATTCCCTGGAAGGTTGTAAGGAGAATGTTGACCATCTGCTCTCCGTATCTACAGAGAAGTAGCAAATTGACTGAAATTGCAGTGGGAGATGTGAGTCAGAAATAAATAAGTCATTATTGACAATAGGAATTGATAAGCAGCAGAAAAGGCTATCACAGGATATTATGAGCCATCCATGCCTGAAAACTGAAAGACCTAGATAGCCATATGGCTCTGCTGATTTACATGTCCTTTCACAGAGAGGGCTGAGCTGAGCAACTTGCTGCAACTCTGTCCCTGTTCCTAACACTAGAAAAGACCCTTAATCTGTTGAAAGTCCAAGCTGTCTTCATTCCTTCACCCTTTCCTAGTGTGAGCCTCCCACCAGGCCAATTGGTGGGGTGGTGATTTCCATACAACATGAACTAGAAAACCAACTATTGAATTTGGGGCTCTACCATAGAAACAGAAAAAGGGTCCAATGCTGGAGGAAAAGGCATCTATGCTGACAACTCCTTAAGAGATTTGGAAGGATAATTTTGATTATATTTGATTTCCAACTTAAAAACTACTACCCAACTCACTACCTGCTCATTGTCATTCCCATGCATACCTACATACTGTCACTACATATGTGGGCATTCCTTAACAGTGTGTAGTATTATTTTGCATAGTGATATTACATGTTTTTAACATCACATGGATTTGCCTACTTGCCTGCCTTCCCTCCTTCCTTCTTTCCTTCCCTCCTTCCTCTTTCTTTCTTTCTTTCTTTTTCTTTCTATTCCAGCATTGGTCTGCCTGTCACCCATGCTGGAATAAGTGGCACAATCAAGGTTCACTGCAGCTTCCCACCTCAGCCTCCAGAGTAGCTGGGACCACAGGCATACACCACTTGGCTAATGTTTGTATTTTTTGTAGAGATAGACTCTTGCTATATTGTCCATATGGTCTCAGATTCCTGGCCTCAAGCATTCCTCTCACCTTGGCCTCCCAAAGTGCCAGAATAACAGGTGTGTTACATAGGTATACATGTGCCAGAACTTAAAGTATAATAAATAAACAAAAAGGTAGTCATTCCACATAGAAAAAACTGCAGAGCTTCATATTTTCCTTAAATATTTTCAAGTACTGTAAGAACACACACACAAAAATAAATAAATAAAATAAAATGACAGGTGTGAGCCACTGCACCAGCCTCATGATTTTAAACATGCTATAAAAGGTGTCATACCACAAGACAGGCAGTACACCGTAGTAGCTAACAAAACAGACTCTGAAGCCAGACTCTTCGGATTTCCTAATGTCTCACTGCCTCACCTTCCTCATCTGCAACACGGAAATAATGATGATGATGCGTTAATGATGATGATGGTATCCACCTCTATTATTTGTATAATATCAATGAGATAATATATGTAAAGCACTTAGAACACTGTCTGGTCCATAATAAATGCTTTATTATTAGCTATTATTACCTATTCTTCTGCAACTTATGTTTCAAGCATAAGTGTTCATTTAGTCCGCAATCATTTGACTGCCCCCTGTGTACAGGCAGCATTCTGAGATGCTAGGGATTCAGCAGTGAACAAAACAGGTAACTCTATCTGCCCTCAAAAAGTTTCTGTTTTAAAGTTAGAACAGGTCAAATTAATGGGTAGGAGCCAGTAAGCAAAGATTCTGCATTTAATGTTGCAGCTGGGGGAGTTAGAAAAGGAAATAGGAACACTGCTACACAGTTGGTGGGAGTGTAAATTAGTTCAACCATTGTGGAAGACAGTGTGGCGATTTCTCAAGGATCTAGAAATAGAAATTCCATTTGACCCAGCAACCCCATTACTGGGTATATACCTAAAGAACTATACATCGTTCTACTATAAAGACACATGCACACGTATGTTCATTGCAGCCCTGTGTACAATAGCAAAGACCTGGGACCAACCCAAATGCCCATCAATGATAGACTGGACAAAGAAAATGTGGCACATATACACCATGGAATACTATGCAGCCATAAAAAACGATGAGTTTGTGTCCTTTGTAGGGAGTTGGATGAATCTGGAAACCATCATTCTCAGCAAACTGATACAAGAACAGAAACTCAGACACCGCATGTTGTCACTCATAGATGGGTGTTGAACAACGAGAACACGTGGACTCAGGGAGAGGAGCATCACACAATGGGGGCAGTTGGGGGGGTAAGGGAGAGACAGCGGTGGGTAGGGAGGGAGGGGAGGGTGTGGAGGGATAACATGGGGAGAAATGCCAGATATAGCATGCACCTAAAGTAAAATAAATGTTTTTTTAATGTAAAAAATAAAAAAGAAAAAAGGAAAGCCTCTAGGCGGACCCAGTCCACCCAGCTCCAGCTGAGCTGCAGTGGCTGCGGTGGCGGCAGGTCGCGCAAGCCCTCGCGGACCCCGCAGCCCCTTCCCCGCTCGGTGCATGGAGATGTGAACAGTGCCAGCTGCTGAACCGGGACCGGCTGGGACTGGGATGGCCTCGGGCTCTGGCTGGCCCTGCCGCCTGAGGGCTGCACATAGCCAGGCCATCGCGTTCCAGGAAGTGGCCTTCCTGAGCACCAAGGCTTACTCCCCAGTGCAGTCCCACCTCCCGGAATGCAGAACCTAAAGGCAGATCCAGAAGAGATTTTTACAAAAGTAGAGAAAATTGCAAAGGGCTCTTTTGGCAAGTTGTTCAAAGGCATTGACAACTGGACTCAGAAAGTGGTTGCCATAAAAATCGCTGATCTGGAAGAAGCTGAAGATGAGATAGAGGACATTCAACAAGAAATCGCAGTGCTGAGTCAGTGTGACAGTCCACACGTAACCAAATATTATGGATCCTATCTAAAGAATGCAAAATTATAGATAATAATGGAATATCTTGGTGGAGGCTTGGCACTAAATCTATTAGAACCTGGCCCATTAGATGAAACCCAGATCAGTTCTATATTAAGATATTAAGAGATATACTGAAAGGACTTTGATTATCTCCATTCGGAGAAGAAAATCCACAGATTTTTTTCTGTCTGAGCACGGCGAGGTGAAGCTGGCGGACTTTGGCGTGGCCAGCCAATTGACGGACACCCAGATCAAAAGGAACACCTCCATGGGCACCCCGTTCTGGATGGCACCCAAGGTCATCAAACAGTCGGCCTATGAAGACATCTGGTCCCTGGGCATACAGCTAATGAACTTGCAAAAGGAGAACCACCTCAT